ACTTGAGAAACATTTATTGAGTGTCTACACTGTGCTTTTATCTCTCAGAACATTAAAGTAGGTGAAAAAAATATTGAAAAATTGAACAGTAAAGGTTTTACGATTCAGAACAGTTTCAAATGTAAATATTTCATTCATCCTCAAACCATGATTATTAAAATGGTACCTTCCAGGTTCTAATAGAAGTTAACCCCATCAGTAATATTACAAAATCAACTTATGGAGAAAAAAATAACCATTAAAAGCAGTATTCAGCCTTGGGTGGGGGTGTAGGTCCACGGCAGAGTGCTTGCTGGGTTCTCTCCCCAGTGCCCCCAAATAAAATGTGCTAAGCAACCTTAAAAAAGAAAGAAATCCCACCATTTGCAGGAACACCCATGAACCTAGAGGACACTCTGCTGAGTGAAATGAGACAGACAGAGACAATGCCGAGTGGTCTCACCTGCATGTGTGTCTGCATCGCCCATCTGCAGTTCCCATCAGCAGACGTAGTGGAGGTCCCAGGAATGGAGGCCGAGCAGGGGAGGGGTGGGCAGACCCCGGGGCGGGCGTGGGTCAGAGGCACAGAGTGGAGTCAGGGTGATGAGCCCAAGGCTCCCCATGGGGACTGCAGGTCACAATCACGCAGACTGGAATTTGCTGAGAGAGGATTGGAGGGGTTTGTCAGACACGCACACACACACACACACACACACACACACACACACACACACACACACGAGACAGCTCCAGGGGAACTCGGCCACGCTGGCTTTCTTGACTGTCACCATCTTGTCGCCATCTTGCCTTGTGTATGAAAACCTCATGTGATGGTTCTACTTTCAATTTTTGAGGAACCTCCAAATATAGATCTAGTGTTAATTTTTTGAGGAGTCTCAGAAATTGAACAAGGGCCTGATACAGCAATCCCACTGCTACGTATGTGGCCACAGGAATTGAAATTCACATCCCAAAGAGGCAGCTACGCACCCTCATTCACAGTACTGCAGATGCCCAGAGTCCAAGAGCCACGGGTGGAGGCCTCCAGAAAAGAAATGTTTGAGGAGATAGTTGTCCATCCCGACTTAAACCCTGCACAATGTGGACGTGTTGAAACATCTCGGGGTGCCCTGGAAATAGGTGCGCTTCAATGTTTCTCTGTGTGGGTTAAAATAAATTGAAATCCATCATGGTGTATGCCTTAGGTATGAAGAACAGAAACAGACACATTGAGATGCAGAGGGGTTTACCTCAGGTTATGTGATGACCGGGAGGTCCCTGTCGGGCCTTGGGTTGGGGTAGACGTTCCTGCGTCGATTTTGGTATTTTAGACTATTGCCTTGGCAGAGAATCTGTTCAGTACTCATTTTTTTTTTTTTGTCTCCTTAAACTTTGTGGCTGGGGGTCCTGGTGTTGTTCCTGCCCCTATGGTGTATCTCCAGGCAGATCTGCAGTCTCTTTTCCAGAAAACACAGCATCTTGGCCTTGCTTACTCACCACCCCCTGCTGTTAGCCTCTGTCCCACCTGCGGTGTGCAGGACGGCAAAGGGAAACTCTGCTGTCAGAGCAGAAGTCCTCGCGGGGTGGCTCAGGCAGGTGTGCTGGTTGGTCTGGAATTTTCTTTTCCTACTTGTCATGACGTGAGCCTTTTCAACTCCTCGAGCCTTCTAGGGCGCTACTTTCTGGGTGGCTTCAGGGTCCTCAAAGTCCAAACATCATTATGCATTTCACCCGTTTCCAAGTTTTCAGAGCCACAGACCACACTGCAAAGAACAACTTCAAGCTAAAACTTGAAGATGACTATTTAAGTGCTTTGCACTTTCCTAATAGATCACCGAAGGGGAAGCTGATGTGCATCCCTTAGTGACTGATTAAAGAAAGGCATTTGGAACTCTGCACAAGCTGCTGACACTTCCTCAACGTGCACACAACTTGCCATCAGAAGATGGTAATTTGAAGTTTACTTAGGAATTGAAATCGGGATCTCCAAGAGG